GAAACCATCAGATTTGTATTGTGCTGCATCTATTATTCCAACTAAGACATTCATTGATCAATTATAATCCTACCATCATTTTTTGGGTACTTTGACTTTCTTGAGTCTGATCTATAAAACCATCTTCATTTCATGGACCATTTTTTGGAAACAAAAAATAAAAAGATGAAGATAGCATTGTTTATCTATGACTTAAATTCCAGTTGAAAGTATTGAATTGACATACTCAAATTTTGTTCCAGGGAAATATTTGTAATGTCTCCTTTATGCTGCACCTCTTCTCTTCCAGGTTGATGCAGTTAAGGAACAGGTGAAAGCTAAATGCTCTGTTTTTGATCTCAAAGTGTTGAGCTCGGGCTTTGAGTGTGCATGGTTTTAGCTACACTCTCACTTTGACACAGTCAGAGAGACACCTTAAGGCTGACATTAGACCTGTTTAGGAACTTTATAGATATGTAGTGCCTCACATATTCAGACAGATTAAACCTCAACATGCTAATCCAGTCAGGGGATGCATGCAAATCCAACGGGCTTCAGGATTGGATAGTAATAGATGTGTTGTGGATGAGTAACACGTTGGGGTCAGGATGTCAGGTTTTAAGAACAGAAACACTCTGAGAAGAGGTCACACTGTTTAACCTGCTAAATGAATGAATGTGTTTGACACAATTATAAATGTCCTTTTGTGTACGACTAAAACAGTACATTTTTTGTATTTTATTTACCAAATGTAGCGCTAACATTGCTTGTATTTTGACATTTTATAGAGCTTTAATTGTGAAAGGCCTCATCTTAATGTCCTGATATTATCTGAGGGGGTCTGCTGAAGTGAAATTGGTCCGTCGAAACAGGAAGTTTCTCAATGACAACCTGAGATGTTGTTTTGAAGCCTGATTGTTTTTTTTTTTTATTAAGTGTGAAAACACAGCTCATAAGCGACACATGCTCGCCCATTTATTAATGTCACTATGAGGAGGGAGTGAGAGAAGCAAAACTTTTGACACATTTCTTTTAATGTTCTAGCTATAGCTATTTTCAACATGGCACGTAGAGCAAACAGAGTATATTTGACACATCCTTCATAACTGTTCCACTCTCAGATATGGACACTGCACAGTATGAGTTGTATGTTGTTGTGAATCGCCTGGTCATATGAATAAAGCATGCATAGACACGTCTCTTGCTGATACGTAGCAGCAGGCTGTTTATGTGCCTGGCTTCCTGTAGAAAGGCTGGAGCTATGGAGAGCACCTGACCTGAGACCCCCCCTCCTGTCAAACTGCATCTCAGTGCTGCAGCCTCTGACTCACTGCCAGCCGTGCATCACACAGAGCATGATGCTGTGTCTGTTTACTGTGGAGCTTTGAACGTACAGTGTGTCTGAAGAGGCATGGGGAATCTGAATGAAGCCACGACTATTGTCTGTAGATATAACATGCATCCAGGGGCTGCTGCTGCTGCTCTCCCCTCAACAGCTGATATCAGCCTTTTGCCCGTTGACTTGCTGCCTGTTGTGTTCTGTCAGTTTTTTTATTTAAAGAAAAGGCTGTTTGTATTGTAAATGACAACCAGGCCACACAGACAGAGGAAAGGCAATGATTTGTTATGGTATTTATTAGCGAGACCTCCACTACTACTGGTTCAACCACCTTAAGATTTTCATCATGATTTTTATTTGTATTGTTTTGCTACTGTGTGAAATCTGCAATGCGTGGCGGCCCACATGAGCATCCTTTGTCATGAAAGATTCTTTAACAAATATATCTGTCTTGTACTTGGCGAGTATGGTGTTGTCCTTGTTAGGTGTTGTTCAGTTCTAATTCTATCATTTCTTTGCTTTGCAGGTAGACAAACTAGAAACCTCAGAGACTGTAAGGAAAGAGGAGGAGCAGGCAACAGAGACGCAACCCATCGTCTACGGTAACCGTCCTCTAATGATGTCTGTGTCCATTTCACTGTCATAACAAGAACAGCTGTGTTTTTTTAGATTTCAAATTTTTTAAAAGCCCCCTTCAAATGTGTTTGAATTGCAAATATTAAATAGGATAACGTTTGCATATTTAAAAAATGTGCCTTTTTTAAATTGATTAACCTGGGGAACGTTCATGTTTATCTATTTGTTAAATATATCATCCCATTCACCTTAAGTGTCTCCCAAAAAAGATCCATAAGGGTGCACTATGATCATTTACAGGCTCTAGTTGAATATGAATACCAGTCACTTGTTTTAATCCCTGTGTGTTCCTTTCAGGCACACCCCAGCTGATGCTGACGGCGGGCCCCACCGTCCCCGTGGCTCCCCAGCAACCGTACGGCTACGGCTACCAGGCGCCCGCAGGCTTCGCTCCGCCAGCTGCTCAGCCAGGCTTTGGCTACGGCATGTAAAGACCCCCCCCCCCCCCTCATTACCCTTCTCCTCCACGTGCAGGCTGGGGCAAACATCCATTCCGTGTCCCACAGTCCTTCACCAGAGCGTCAGTCTGCCCCCTACAAGGCAAGCGGGGCCGCACAGACACCCTTTTCTCTTCGGTTTTTCTTTCTTTCCTTTTTTTTGTCATGAAGGAACTCTCAGTTTTATTTCTGTTGTCAAAGAAAAGAATTGAATCCAAAAGATTAAATTTTCTCTCACATTCCGTATTCGACTAGAATTATATTTGTTTCTTTTTGTCTATTTGGATTTTGAATGGGAAATGGTTTATGTATCAATGGGGAGGGGCTTGTGAGAAGGAGCTTGGTGAGAAGAGCTAGTCCTCTACTCCGGTTTATAAAAAAAAAAATAAAAATTGGTCTGTTGTGAAGCATCTGGATTTGCACCTGTAAGTGAAAAGAAAATTAATTGTAGAACCTCTTCCTTTTGTGATGTGTGTAGCAGCTTCTTCTGGTCCGACTGTAAATGCATTTTAATTATTGTATATTTCAGACGACAAAAAAAGCTTCGCATGTTCTTCTATATTTGAAACATGAGAACCGCCGCTTTCCACGACCCACAATCCTTGACACACTACCATCACATTCACCCACACACACTTACGATGGGTCTGAAACACCAAGAGTATTTTATGTATGAATTTACAGGAAGTTCCATTCCTTCCCGCAAAGGCCTATTGAAGGACCTCTCTTAAAACAAATTAACTTCAGGACCGAACATTTCCCATGTGCTTTAGAATACCTGCTCTAACGTGGGCGACCCATCTCCACCTCAGGGAGGGGACTGCAGAACCTGTTGGGACCTAACTTGGCCCCCCCCCCAAAAACCCCCTTCGTGCTGCGGTGTATCACAGGACTTGGTGGTAATTTGAAGTTTTTATCAAAGGCTTTTGCGTGTATACAGGAAATCAATCATTAACTCCTTTGAACTTATATTCTTATCTAAATTACCTTTAGATTTAAATTGTGCACTTAAGATACTTGATTGTGCATAATCAGGATCATAATGAATGAAACAGCGGTTTTGTTTTCCACTTAAAAATAAAGGCTTCTTGTTTGTCAAGAAAGTTCTGATTGTGTCGTGTTGTGTAGGTGGAGAAAGCAGCAGGTCACATTTAACTTCCGTCCAATCAGATAGCTGAACATTTAGCCCCCAAAACTGTCAGGGGGCGGTCAGGGATCTGATGGAAGTATGAAAGACATGTAGTTTGTACTCCAACATAATATTACACAAAAGCCACAATACCAATATATTCCTATATCATGAATCTTTAACTGCAGAATTCCTATATGATAATATAGTGATGAATCCCATTTAAATAGAAAATGCACGCCAGTTGATTATTATTTAATGCCCTTCTGATCTGCATAAAAGGTCATGAGACTAGAGGGATGTGTACTTAAATCTACAATTCTACAGGAAGTGAACATCAAACAAGCTCATGTTTAGTAGTGTCGGGAGTGGATCAAAAATAAAAATTATATAAATTGTTCAGTGTTGAAGTGTATTTTAAAATGCTGTAATGCTTCGTAAAATAATAAAAAAAAATCTTTATTCGAAATATTATTTAAATCCTATATAAAACAGTTGTAGAATAAATAAAAAAACAAGTATTTTGCACCAGCATGTGTGTAGATTCTTTGAAATGTAATGTCAGAATCCTTGTGAAAACTGCCTCGGTGGGTTTTTAAAGATTTTCTTTTCTTAACGGTTGGTGAATGAGACCCACATTGAATACGGACTCCTAGAATAAGGGCTTCTCCATTTCCAAACAGTGTATCAGCACTTCCTTTGGCTGACTTTTGCAGAAATATTTGCAGACCAAAGCTGAACTTGGGAGTCTGAAAGGACAGGATATTGCACAGAAACAGGAAACTCCTTTCTAAATTCAGTTGAAGTGAATGTCAGACAAATCTCCGAGATAATGTGAGAGTATCGTAAAACCACTTTGTCTGAACACAGTTCAGTAGTGTTCTAGAGACTACATTCATTTCTTGGGTCTTGACTTAGCTGGATACTCTGATGTTGGATTGGATTTCAACCTGCTCCTCTGACTTGTATTGTACTTGTATTGGTCTACATTGTGCAATGTCCACCATCTCAACTTGTTTCAAGTCATAACATATTTATATAATTCATTTTCAAACCGCTGAATGATCAGGGTATAATGTTACTTTTCAGAAGATTTGAGTAGATGCTCATAAGATATGTGGATATGTTAAAGAATAAGATGAGTTTAAGAAGGTTAAACAATTTCAAGCAGTGGTGTTAACTGCAAGTTGTATCACAATATGTTTGCTGTTATCACTGATTCTTGCTCTTTACAGTTTCAATTAAGGGGCCTGCAATCAATATGAAACGATATTCCTATATTATAAAAAAAAAAAAAAGGTTACTGGTCTAATCTTCCAGATATTTAAATAAAAATATTATTTTAAACAAGTTATAGACCTGTTCACTATAAAGTGCCACATTCCTCACTTGAAGCACTGTTTAAATATGAATTAAGGAGGTGAGCTTCATAATACATTGGGACAAATGCGCCATGGGAATGAAAAAACTAAGGCGTAAATGCAAGACTTAGAACATTTAATATACTTCAGAGTTGTATAACTAAACAAATCAATTCAGTGACATATTCATATGACATCGTTGTTCAGCTCCGCTGCAAAAATAATGCAGTACTGATTTAAATTATGCTAGACAACTTAAGGCACTGCTATTTGCATAGCAGCTGACAGGAATGGGTTCTCCAACACTCATCGGGAGGCTGTGGCTCAGTGGATAGTGCGCTGAACTTCGAATGAGTGGGTAGCAAGTTCGAGTCCCACTGCAGTCAGCATGTCGTTGTGTCCATGGGCAAGACACTTCACCTCAAATTGCTCCTGTGGGGATTGCCCACAGTATTGAATATGTAAGTGGCTTTGGATAAAAGCGTCTAACAAGTGAAATGTTATCATTATATACACAGTATCTATCCAATGTTTAGGTGATTTTCCTATGACAAGTCAAAATGTCTGCACTGAAAATGTTTCACTTTTATTGTCCTGGGATTCTGATGAGATCAACAATCATTGTCATGTCTGTTCCTCTTCAAAAACAAACCTTGGCAGACTGTTTAGAGAGGAGGAAAGTGTGTGGTGTTTTTGTCACAGAAGTAGCACAGTAAAATAGTATGCATCAAGCAGTTACTGCTGCTATTCAAGAGCCAACAAAGGTAGTCGGCACGTGTCCAAATCTGAAACTTCACATGTATGAAACCGAGTCAATTGTTTTATAAAAACACAAACTCATTGCAATTCGTTTAAACAACAAAGACATTGTTTGCAAGTCCGACAGATGCAAACTCTAGTAGAGCTTCAAGTTTCCTGTGACCTTGTCAACGAGATCAGCTGGGCCTGGGCCCACTCCCAGTACGGTGCGGGACCCAGGGGCGATCTGAGTCCTTCCTGCGTCCTGAATCAGGCTGACAGGGAGCCCCACTTCTTTGGCGTGACCCAGCAGATCAATCAGGGTGTCCTCATCGGGCACCTTCACCACCACCTTGGGCTGCCCGCAGTACTCCCACTGTTTGAGAAGCTCAGGGTTCCTGCGCTGCATCTGTTTGTAGGCAGATACAGCAGCATGGGAGCACTGGGCGGCCACCTTCCCTTTGCCCATCTTCAGGTCGTTTCGGACCACTAACACCATCTTAAACTCGCCTCCTTCTCCCATCACGTTCGCTTCACCAGTGCCGTTCCCCATCGCTGCCATCAAGGTTTTGGATGTTGGACCTAAGCGAGCCCGAAGGTGCCAGCCGAGGAGGAGCCCGCAGCCCAGCCCTGCTACTACACCCTGGCCCAATGGACCATAAAGCATGTCCATGATGATGACCCTGCAAAAACAACCGAACAAAATAAGGCAAGTTCAGATCACATCTAAACCCGTTACATACACTGAGGGGAGATTTTGTTTGAGTCTAGAAATTAGAAGCAGCAGTTGACTCAACCATATCACCACCAGGTCCATTCAGTATCTGATCATATGACTTTATTCCCCTGTTGTCATAGAAAAGGAGAACTTATAACAGTCCATGTAGGTTAACCAATTGAGATTGGTTAAATGTTCCTAAGCTCACTACTTTTGTAGCTTTAAGTTATTTACCCAGGTTTGTAGGAATTCCTCTTTGATTTTTATAACGTTAACGTAATAAGCGCTTAACGTTAGACAGATGGCAACTATAGGAGCAAACGAGCTGACGCTACTATAGCTAAATAGTGTATATAGACTTTATAGCGGCATAACAATAAATAGTGTTTGTTTTTTTAACAAACAGCAAGATAAATAACTGGCTAAAGAGTTAGTTCCGTTTTTAAACACAACACTGTATATACATTCAACCAATCTACTAAAACTTCGCGGGCTAAAAAGCTAACGCTAGCTAACTAACTTTATAACAGGAGTAAGCCTTGCTACCGTTAGCTTCCTGGTTAGAAACAAGACCTATTATTACTTTACAATAACACAACACCAGGACCAAACTATTACTTTCTTAGCAACTAGACTCATGTTCAAACATTTCCTGCCAGTGCATTGCTAAAACTGATTTATGTTTCATACCTGCTGGTTAGTTCGACGTGCTAACAGGAACGGTATGAATGAGGCGTGTGGTCTCTTGGTGATGACGTCACGACACCAAAACTTTTCAAAATAAAAGATGAGTGTGCATCCTTTATATAATTGTCTATATTATATATTGATGGTGATATTGATGCTTTGAGCAACAGACACATTAGGAAATGTTTACTACAGAGTGTTTTGTCCATTTTAGATTCTGTTCAAGAGAAATACATCTGAAACACACACTTTGTTGTTGTTTAATTTAGTGTATTTTTGTACCATATCGAATATTATGGTGTATTATTTTGTATTCTAATCCGACACTTGCGTTTTACATTTAGAGCAGATTAGATGCCTTGCTTTAGGACAGGGGTGGGGAACCTTTTTCCTCTCAAGGGCCGTTTCAATTTTTTCAACATCCTCCGAGGGCCGTACAAATTATTGACCTCCGCTTAAAAATACTAAAATCACAGCCCATTCATTTCGCCTTTCTTTCATGCCGTGCAAAGAAAAAGCAACCTCTTAATCCAAATATTTTACCATGACTCGTGCATGCATTCACGTGCACGGTTGTGGCATGACCACCAAAACAGAAAGCATGGTGGACACAAGATGTGTGCAAAAGTATGTAGTTTCCTATCCATGTGGACTGATTTAAGTGGGGTGGGTCCTCACCTCCTCCAGTGGGGTCCGAGGGGCATGCTCCCCCGGGAAGATTTTTTTTTAAATGTTGAAGTTAAAAGCATCAATCTGGTGCACTTTGAGAGCAACATTAGGAGATCTATGGATAGATGATCTCTCAACATCAATATGAAACAGAACTGTAAGCAGATTTATTTTTTCTTTATGGATGTTTTACAAATCACTCCCCTTTCAAACTATTCTTGTTTATTAATAAAAAAAATTACATTATTATCTTGTTTTTTTATAACTACAATGATCATATAAAGATGTGCCTTTACCTCACTGGTTGAAGAAAAAGCTTATTATATTCGTTAGCATAGCTAGCTAACCAGATGCTAATAACAACAAAGTTATTGACTGTATGATCAGTATGACAGATGAACAAATCGCCACTGGGATTACAACTAAAGACACAGCCACGAAAATACTGCGGCATGTGTCCGGCTCCTTATGGCAGTGGTTCTCAAAGTGGGGGCGCGCCCCCCCAGGGGGGCGCAGAGGCATGACAGGGGGGGCGCGAGAGACCAGGAGGAAAAATGGTTAAAAAAAAAAAAACATAACAAAAAAAAAAAAAATGTTTTAAAAATTATTGATTCGAAAATAATATTATACAGTACTATTACGTCTGGGTCTCTGTGTTTCATTAAAGTTTGGCTCTGTGTGTGTGTGTGGGGATTGTTGCAGTAGAACATTCCACTGTAGCGACCAGTACATTAATGGGAAACCCTAAATGTTTGAGCACCCTCTATGAAACGTCAAGCTACCCCACAGCACCCCCAAAATAGAATCTCTGGCGCCGCCACTGAGCCTGACTATTTGTGTTGGGGGGGCCCGACTTTTTTTTTTCTCCAAAGGGGGGGCCTGACAGAAAAAGTTTGAGAACCACTGCCTTATGGGTACGACGCTCTGGTGCTCTCCGTCAGAAGAACTGCACCCCTGTCAGACGAGACATATACCACGTGATGACACGTTAGGCTCGTGTTGTGTTCAAGGACCCTGACCTTGGCCAGGAAAAATAGGTACTCGCTTGTTTAATTTTTTTGCCGTCTAGATTTCTTTAATTTTTTTCTTTTTTGCGTGTGTTTATAAATTACCTCGAGGGCCGTAGCAAATCGAGGTTCCCCACCCCTGCTTTAGGACCTCTCCCCCTATCAAGACCAGTTCGGCCAGTTCAAGACTAGCCTATTCTTAGGCCAACACTGTCCTCTATTGAGCAAAACTAGGAACTACTGGCACCTGAGACTAAAACTCAACTTTATTTCCTACATTGCCCACATTTACATGCAGTTTATTCTGCCCCCCCAACAATATTCCATGAAGCTCAATGTCGTTTTAGATTATCTTTCTACTAGTTTAAATCATGCCGTTGAGACCTTTCTACATACACTTAAAACAGCCAGCATGCAGAGAGGCTCCATGTAATTTATTCGAGCATACATTTTTTAACAGGAAATGACACATAACACTGACCCAATGATCCAGCCTATCGCAAGATGCGTTAAACCTGGACAACATTATAATAAAATAAGATGGGATATACTTTATTGCCAATTTGGTAAATGTTTTCGTCACAGCAGCATGTCGATAAGCCATTACACATGAATAAGAAGAAAGATCAAATACAATGTAAAACAGTTCAGATATACATATCAACATTAGAAGAGAAACAAAACAGTGAATGTATATGTATCAAAAATGAAGGATATATAACTGTCCGATGGCTGAGAAGTGATAGACCAAATAGATTTTCTTGGTCACATTAATGTGAAGTGATGACCCTGTGAAACATTGGAACATAATGAGTGAATAGATGGATATTTCAAAAGGGTTTTCAGAGTTTAGAAATATTTACTTATTTAAATATATTGTTAGATGGTATTCTTTGACCTGTTTTACACCAAAGGAGGCTGTAGGGCTACACTGTTATTGGAGCAGAACCACAACACTATTGTTTTGGTGACAAAAGGAACAGCACTTTTTCTCTTGGAACTGAAGTGGAGTTGTCCTTCTTTCCTGCTTTGGTGTCCATTACTATTTTATGCATTCGTCTCTAGTTTGACAACTGCTATCTTTTAAACCTCTGAAAATAACTAAATTACATATTAGCAGGGGAACTGACCTGATTTCAGTTCTAAGACTTCTAGATCCAAAACATGGATGATATATCCAGAAGTCTAGAGTACAGTCATTTAAGTTCTATGTCGTAAAGAGACGCTTCTCCAATCACATCTCAATCAAGTCCCAAGATAAAGTAACTTTAAAAAAGACTTCTCCCTAGAAAACACTATACCTGTTGTACTCTGATAAACAAGATGATGCTCATATTTAAACATGGCGACTTACGGTTCCATCTCTAGTTATGACCTGAAAAGTGTGATGTCCTGAGGCGTTTTATGTTTTTCCCTTTGGGAATTAGCTGAGCACTCTTTGCCCCGATGCCATTCATTCACAGTGTTTGTGAAACCCACTGAGGACAGACAAGTGTTAGAAGTGCGCTCCAGGAAAGCGATCCACTTATTTATAGACACTTTAATTAGACTGGCTCTCTGGAGGTAGTACCATGCAGGCAAATGATGAAATCTCACCCTCTTTCTTTCTGTGTCTCTCTTCTGTCAGCCTGCTGTCCCCTCCCCCTCCTCTGAACTCTGTATCAGTGCTGCATCCCTCACTGGCCCCCTCCATCACCACACCCTGCACTCAAGTTATGATGCAGTTCATGTGCAGCATACTTTAGCATATGTTTGCAGTGCAGCTCCATCTCAGGTTTTATTTTATCTTATCTTGGATCAGCTTAACGGTGAGTTTTCCTTCTGGCATGATGCACTGCTCAAATACATCTGTTACATTACAGCCCTGCTTTGTTTTTACACTTTGTGAATGGTTAATCTCTCTCCAGTACACTGTTGTTGTCTCTTTTTAACTGTGAGAATTAATTACTGCTTATCAAATGTCTCATCCTGAAGTGTAAGTGCTCTCTCTTCAGTTTCTCATTGTCCCTCGCTGAGGAGTTACTCAACAGGTCTGGTTTGTTTTGGTTGAAGCGATTGCGCAATCAAGTGTTGGAGCAGTGCTGTGCTTCACAAAGGAAGTAGTGTTGTTATGAAACTGTTTGGTACTGCTCGGGAGTATTGTCTTGTTTTTAAAATAATAATCAAATAACTTGTTGTGTAGAACGTTGCACATAATTATACATCAATCAATCAATGTTTATTTATATAGCCCAATATCACAAATGTTACATTTGTCTCAGTGGTCTTCACAGTGTGTACAGAATATCAGTATGACAACACGACACCCTCTGTCCTTAGACCCTCACATCGTACAAGGAAAAACTTCCAGAGAAAACCCACAGTTTAACGGGGAAAATGGGAGAAACCTCAGGGAGAGCAACAGTGGAGGGATCCCTCTCCCAGGACAGACAGACGTGCAATAGATGCTGTGTGTAAATCGAAAAGATAATACATTTACAACATAGGAAGTCCAAATGTTTGGAAATGCATGTGTCGATAATAAGAAGATGAATCCACAAGAATGTCAGCAATCTTGTGGGAGCCATCAGGGAAGTAGTATGGTGAGAGTCAGGCAGGACCACAGTGACAGGTTCAGCCACGACTCGAAGTCCAGGACTCAGATCCAGAACTCAGGATCCAGGACTCAGGATCCAGGACACACGGCCACAGCAAGGATTAGCCTCGACTCAGGATCCCGGCGTATATATGGACACAAAAAAGAGATATACATGAGCAGCTTAGGTGCAGCTTTGTGTTTTGCACAAAGATATCAGTTGGTCACCAATTTCTATAATATTTGTTACTTACAAGATATTACACATGACATATTGAGCCCTTTTCTTGGTGTACGTTTTGTTCCCATACTGTATGTGCATGTGCATAAAAGAGCTTGTGATTCTAGTGCGAGTCTCTTCGAGGTTTAACGTCTGTGATAAAAACGCTTTTGAGTGTGGTTCCCTGAAATGGTCAGGAGTAGCTAGCTCTTCAAATGCCTTGCAGTCTAACCGTCAAATATATTTATTTTCTTTCCACTGTGTGACACTTCACTTGCACAAGACTTTGAAGTACCCACAGTCCCATTCACCGTGTGTGTGTGTTCTCTGCCATCTCTCACAGAGAGATGAATACCAGAGAGGTGTGTGTGTGTGTGTGTGTGTGTGTGTGTGTGTGTGTGTGTGTGTGTGTGTGTGTGTGTGTGTGTGTGTGTGTGTGTGTGTGTGTGTGTGTGTGTGTGTGTCCTTTGGGATAAAACACAACCACATGTTGGACCTTAAGAGTCACAACAAGATAAATAAAATGGAAGAAAGTCATTGCAGGTATCATTTGAATTTGACCAAAACCTCAGAATATTTCCATCAAATTCTGAACAGGCATCATGGCCTGCTGTGATATCAAAGCTGTGCAGCTTGTCGCCTGACAGCTCAGAGAGTGTGGATGCATGGAAACAGAAGCTAGACGCCCAGCAGACCTCGGGCACGGGACAGAGAGAGACTGACAATTCCTCCACATGGTGGACAGCATACCTCTGTGTCAGAGTCCCCTTCTCACTGCTCACTGACAAATTCCTCAGGCTCTGAAGTGAGACACAGTGTGTGTGTGGATTTCCTTTGAGGATATGTAATGAAGAAACTAAAAGCAAAATCTTTTCCTTCTCTTTCACCCATTATCTAAACTCATTACCATTGGTTCCCATGTACGCCATTTGATCACCAGGGGGGGTGAATTAATAATCATTTGTACACACAGAAAAACTAACCAGACTTACCTCAGTATCATTAGGTCATGCACCTCCTAGCAGGTTACTTTTATTATGCAGGTTGCAGGAGCAGGAAAGTACTGACTGCTCGGCGTGTTCACAGTGTGTACGCAGACAGAGTGTGGGTGTGCTGTGGTGTGTGAGTCTATATTTGTTTTGGGCCTGCAGCCGTATCTAATGTATGGAGTGTGTAATTCTGTGCTGAAGGCCAGTTTCTTCTCTCAGCAGGACTCCTTCCAGGTGAATGAGATGGCAGAGTGTGGGGTCCAAGGTGAACAACCTCAGAGGCGTCTTGCTGTGAAGGAAAACGGAGAGCTGACAGGTAAAAACGAAACACATCCAATGGGTAGGTGGTCATAACCACGCTTAAAGAAACTTGTTTTATTAGTGCATTAAAATGCTATTTAAAAGTTGTTTTGTTATTCTCATGATTTAAAAAATGTAATCCTTGTATATTTTTTGTTTGTGTTCTTGTCATACACACGCTGTGCGGCTAGACTCGCAGCTGTCTGTGGATGAGAGGAAACAGAGGGACAGGGAGGAGAGGGAATCTCTGGTGTTATGGAGGAATCCTCTGTTCACACTACACTACTTCACTCTGGAACTGCTTATCACCATTGAAGAGTGGCTGAAGAGGTGAGAGGATGGGTGTTATAGTGGTGGTAGCACTCAGATCTCTTACTTAGTAAAAGTTGTAATACCACATGTGGAAAGTTCATGCATTGAAAAAGTCCTGCATTCAAAATTTTACTTAGCTAATAAAAAAAATAGTAGCATCAAAAAGTACAATATAAGTAGAAAAATACTCATTCTGCAGAATGGCCCATTCCAGAAGAATTTATGCATAAATGTATTTTGTATCCCTTTAAAGTTGCGGCTCGTTAAGTTATGTTTGTTTGTTATTTACGAAGGGAATTACTAAAAAAAAGTAGAAGGAAACGGAAGAACCTCAAAATAGTGCTTCAGTAGAGAACCTGAGTAAATGTACTTTAATAAAAGTGTGTGAGTCAAAAATCAATAAAGAGAGAAACTGAAAAAAGGAAAATACCGGTTTAACTGTAAAAGCATATTTTAAACAATTTCAATACATTTAAATATGTATTATCCATGTGTTAATGTAACTATAGGGATGAGAGCAGATAAGCAGTATTTTTTCTGTCAGTTTTATTTAACGAGGTGCTAGTGCTGCATGTTTATTGCAGGCAGAAAGAGGATACGCTGGTTGTAAAAAATAAAAGCAAACTGCTTCCCTCGCACACAAAAGTAGAAATCTATAACCAGACAGGAGGTGACCTTGATTGTCTACGTGCTCTCAACCTAAAAAACCTTCTCCCTCATAGTTTAGTCTTCAGTCAGATTTGTCGCAGAACCTATATAATACAGCACAAAGATCTGTATTATATATAATTGTTTCCCCTCATAACTCCTCAGACTGGTAGAGCTGGCAAGGTGTTTCCATCTCACTAACTGATGCCACCTCACACACAAAAGCTACAGCATCAGAACAGACAGCATCAGAGTTTGCTGTTATGAAAAAGTTCCTATAGCTGAACAACATGTTTTTTACACACCAAGTAGTCTTCGTTGACACAGGGGCCTATAAGAAGGTCAGAGTGTACGCTCAGGGAGGCCTCTGTGGTTAAGTGTGTGAGGACAACGTGTTTATTTTCTAAACTACAAGAGGATGTGGTGAGCCGCAAGCACCATGAGCAGTGTTCTGACTGAGAGAAGCTGCTGTTCACAAACAATCAAAACACATGGTGTTAAGCTGCAGGGGGTACATGCAAACACATTACGAGCACACAGAGAAGTTTATCCTAAATGTTAAAGTGGTTTGTAATTTATTGCATATGCAGGGAGTCCTCTGGCTCTGTAAATGGAGACAAAGGGAGGATTGGGAAGATTGGGATGTTGGTATGCGAGAGGCTGTTTTTTTGTATAGAATAATTGTGGTCAAATTACTGTTAACCATGCATTTAAAAACAAATACACAATAAAAGTCTAATACAATTTATGCTGTCCATGAGAGACCAGTTTAAAGATGAAATACCTTACTGATTGAGAAAGCACACATATTCCAGTAGAGTAAACAGTATTGCTTGAATGTGCAAATGTATGCCAATGATGCGGTCATCTTTGTACACGGGAAAAAAACTGAAATAATCACATCCTGTCTCTCCAATGCATTGGACAAGGCGCAACACTGGCTGAATAACATTTGCTTACAGTTAAATGTAAAAAAACAAACAATATGCATGATGTTCAGTAAACGACCAGTCAAAATTCAAGGATCCAATGTGTTTTTAAACGGAGCAGAAATAGAACTAGTCTCCGAGTTCAAGTATCTTGGAGTCATATTGGACTCGAACTTGAGTATCCAATACTATTAAATTCAACTTGCAAAATGTTAAACAAATTAGACCTTTCTTAACTGTCAATGCTGCAAAGTCATACCTCCACTGTATGATTCTATCCCACATTGAATACTGTTTTACAAACTGGTCGTTTGCTTGTGCCACAAACCTGAAACCCATAGACAGCAACAAGAGAGCTATCAAGGTTTTGAACAGAAAGCCAAATTCATCACCACCATACCGACCATCACCTTAGAAAAACACAATGTCTTGAGTTCGACAAATTAAGTCTCTAAAAGCAAGTGTGTTTTTGTTATAAATGTCTAAAACCCCCCAATGGACTGGCCCCCCCTTCCCTGTAGGGAATTCATCACACACAAAAAACTGGACGCTGCACTAAGATCAAAAACCAGAGGAGACTGGAAGTCCACCATGGGAACTGACCATTTGGACAAAATGTGCAGCTCTTCTGGAATAGCCCTACCAACGGAGATATGGGATCGTCCCCACGCTCAATAGGTTAAAGGTGAACTCAGCTGGAAGGACCCTGACCAGCCAGTCCGGGTCGCACGTTTTTCACTCCGTTAATGACGACCACAAACACTGGAGAGGTTTAATAAAGTATATTTCGAAATCCAGACAACAGGGGGGGGGTCGGGGGATGGGGGAGGGGGGGGGGGCGGGGGGTGTAATCAAACTATCGACGATAGCGATTTTTATAACGCCAAGTTCCTGAACCCTAGGACGAGCGCTCCGCTAAAGAAAGTACGGCCGAAAGTAAGGTTACTTAAACAAAAAACATTAGCTGCAGAACGATAGCTAGCGAAAGTTAGCCAGATAATGCTACGCAGTGTGGAGCTGTGTGAGAGGTCGCTTTA